TTTTTTTGGATTTATTGTAGAGACGAGGTCTTGCCATGTTGCCCAGGCTGGTCTCGAACCTGTAGGTTCAGGCAATCCTCTCACCTCTGCCTTCCAAATTGTTGAGATTGCAGGTGTGAGCCATCGTGCATGGCAGCAGTAGTTTTTCAAGAAAAGCTGAAAATCTTGATTTCGTTTTCTTTTTTTTTTTTTTGAGTTGGGGTCTCACTCTGATGCCCAGGCTGGAACGCCGTGGCACAATCATGGCTCACCACAGCTTCAATCTCCTAAACTCAGGCAATCCTTCCATCTCAGCCTCCCAAGTAGCTGGGACTACAGATGTTTGCCATGATTCCCCACTCGTTTTTTTTATTTTTGTAGAGATGAAGTCCTGCTGTGTTGGCCAGGCTGGTCTTGAACTCTTGGGCTTAAGTGATCCTCCTGCCTTGGTTTCCCTGAGTGCTGGGATTACAGGCATGAGCCACCACCAGCTGGAAATCTTGATTTTTAAAAGGAACCTTCTGGTTTTTAAAACCTAATGACTTGTTACCAAGAAAGCTGAAAGACTGCAGGATAATTATACATGCCAGCATGGTAGTAGTAAAATATTTTAAAAGAACACTTGAATGTCCATTAATGGGGTTTGGTTAAATGAATCACCATGTACCCACCCAATGCAGTACCATAGAGCCACACAAAGAAATGAGAACACCCTTTATGAACCTCTATAAAAAAAGTCTTTGTCTATTAGTTAAACTGTTTTCATTAATTAATAACTCACTAAATTTGAGGATATTTGTTATGCAGCAAAAGCTAACTACTACACTTAGCAAATAAGTAAATAATATTAAGGACAGAAATAAAATTGTCCAGGCCACCCATCCTATTAACATTTCTCTTGGATTCAATAAATTAATATATGTTCAGCCAGGATTTGGCACATAGTAAGTGCTCAATAAATGCTGAACTTGTTGTGGAGACCCTTAAGTGACGTCAAGTGGGGTTGAGGGTTAGGGTCTCCTGGGTCTCACAGGGCCATTCTTGGTCTTGTCTGAACCTCTGTATTTCCCCTCCCCTCACCCCATGTTTACCTTCTAGCAGTGACAGCAACATCACCACCATGTCCTTCTGCAGATCCAGCAGCTCCTTCAGCAGCTCAATCTGGCTCGAGTCCTAGAGACCCCACGCCCCAGCTATGTGAGGGCTGGTCTCTGCAGAGACACCTTCCCCACCTCCAGCTGCTCCTGCCCCTCTGTGCCTACCCAGCAGGGCCTAAATTCCTCTTTTTCTCCCCTCTTACCTCCGAGGGAACCTGAGTCCAGACATGTTCCTTGGAAGCAGGGGAGGGGGCAGAGAGACAAGATTGGGGGGTGGCACTGGCCCTTGGGGGAGGGGCTTGACAAGCGATGCGGAGGGGCAAGGGGCTGGCAGACCAGGAGGACTGGGAGGCTCGGAGGGCAGACATTTGAGGCAGAGAGAGACAGAGACAGACAGAGATGAATACTGGGAACAGAGGGGCAGATCTGGGAAAGGATGAGAGCCCAGCACTGTGCCTGGCCTGTGGTGGGTGCGTGACAACATGCATGTCGCATATAATGTGTGATGGCAAAAGTGGTCCTCTGGGCTCAAGAGGAAGACTGGGAAGACAGCCATGTGCTTTCTGGTAAGCCATCTGGGGGGAGTATGGGGACACACTGCCTCCCCTCACATGGCACCTCACGTAGGGCCCACAGAAACTTCCAACACAGAGTTCTGCCTCATGGTTCTTATTGGTATCAAGTGGAGCCACATAAAATTGCCAATATGTGGCCATTTTGGACCCGCAAAGTGGTGACTTCATGTAGTTCCACCTAATAAAAGGCAGAGGACAGGGAGGACGCCAGATAAATGGCATGTAAGGCTCTTTCCCCCTCAATGCCAGTTCTAGGAATTGCTCATTCCAATCCTAAACACATTTCCACGGTTCCAAAGGTCTGCATTGAGTCTAAGATCCCAACATTCCAGGGCCTAAGGGTCCTAACATGAGTGGAAGGAGCCTGTGGTTTGTGCCTGTTCACAATTCCGTCCCCTTCTGTTAACAAGCCCTCCATTTTCAAACTGGTGCCTCTGATCCCACTCCCAGAGCACGTGGGCCTTTCTCTACCTTCTGATTCTACTGGTCGGTATACCACCGGGTCTGGCCCACCAGGGCGTTGCTTCCCAAGGCTATGGCGATTGGCTCAGAGGTGGGCATCTGACCAGAGAGAACCTCAGGTCTTTCGCGGAGCGCCCCAGGGAGAGGAGTCCTCTTCCCTCGAGCTGTCCGTGGGGTGGGTGGCAGCCCGAGGTGCCATTTTCCCAGCCCATGAGAACCTGCTTGAGGATGAGGCCAAAGAGGAGAGAGACGCTTCTGCCGGCGTCCATCTAAGCCCTGGATCTGTGACGTAAACTGACTCCCTCCACAAGCCACCACTTGGCATTCGATGTCTAGCCTTTGCAACCCAACCCTAGATGGTGGCTGATGAGTCAACACTGCAGGATCCTGGAAGTCTACGCTAGGAGACCGACATCCTGTAGGAGTGTAACATTACTCCAACGGCCACAACTTCAGCTGCCCTGATATTCAGGCATTGCATTCTAAGTCCAGCTCCTCTGAAAAAGTCAGGTGTCACCCGTCAAGGTTTCTGGCAGCCCCCGTGGTACATTTGGGTAAGCTAGAAAAAGGTTTCCCTTCCTTAAAATACTTCCTGTTGGGAAATTATAATATACAGAATACTTTACTGCCATCTGCTGGGGAACTACTGTCATAAGTCCACCAAGATGTGTATGGTATCCAGGATGTGGACCCCTTCAGAGGACATGCCCTTGTGTGGTTTACAAGCTTCAGGCAGCCTTCTGTTTACCAAACAGAAGCAGAACATTTATTGTTTGTGAGGCATTGACAAAGCTGCAAGTGGGTGAGGAAAAGAGGAACACAAGGATTCTGGAGATGGAAGGACAGTGGGGCTCGACAGGGTCCTTACATCGTGGATGCTTGGGCTGGGTGTCATCTGCCGCAGGCAAGATAAAGCAGCAAAACACTTCCTTAGCCCCAGGCCTTAATCTACATATTTTTCTTTTAATTTAAATAGCTGAGACGGGCTATCGCCATGTCACCCAGGCTGGTCTCGAACTCGTGCCCAGGCCCTAATCTCTAAGCCAGCCCCCATTGCCAGGACGGTCCGCGTCAGAGAGGATCTCATTAGACAAACACGCCAACCAACCCTAGAGGCGCTCGCGGCCGAGGGGCGGGGCTAGCACGTCAGACCAATGGAAGTGAGATGAGCTATCAGCCGATTGGTGGGTGCAGAGGAGGAGGCGGAGCCATGCAGAGAGCCAATCCAGAAGAAGATGGATTTGGCCGTGGGGTGGGGACCCGTCTGGAACATGCCGGGAGCAAACTGACCAATGGGGTCAGGCTTGGGAACAGACCAATGGGGGAGGCCCGAAAGCAGATGGAGGCGGAGTCGGGGGCTCGAACCTGAGCCAGCTTCATCATCATGTGAGCGAACACGTGCAGGAATCCCACCACGGCGTCCCACAGGCGGCTGTGCGCCAGGCTCTGCTGGTTCCCGGTGCACGGGCCCTGCGGCCAGAGGCCTGCGTGAGCCCCGGCGGGGCGCCGGGTGCGGGACTGCCCGCCCCCACCCGCGCGGCAGGCCCTACCTGGATGTACTCGGTGAGACTGTTGAACACCTGCTTAGCCACCGACATGGCTTTCGAGAAGTTCCTCTTGCCTTGCTCTTCGATGACATCCTTGCCCGAGTAGTACCAGTAGAAGTCGCTGATGGACTCCTGGGAGGAGCAGGGTGTGAGGGGTCACGGGAGCTAACTATGGTCATGGTCCCACAGCCTCCAGCCCGGTCACACCTGAACCGTCTCACATCCTCACCTGCAGGCGCAGGAGGTAGTCCACAGTGCAGATGATGATGTTAATAGTGGTTGTGTTTCCAGTCTGTGTCCTTAGGTAGTTTTGGAAATCTAGGGAGACGAAAAGTTACTCATTCATCGAGTACCTACCATGTGCTAGGGGAAATAGACAGCAGGTCGTTTATCATTTATGCAATATGTATTTATAGGGTGCCTATTGTATGCCAGAAGGCATATAATCATTAATTTATTTAATAACTATCGAGTACCTACTGTGTGTCAGAGCAAGATGGATGATCATTTCTTTCTTTATCTAAAAATATTATTATTTTAGAGACAAGGTCTCATTACGTTGGCCAGGCTGATCTCAAGACTCCTCAAGTGATCCTCCCTACCTCAGCCTCCCGGATAATTGAGATTACAAATGTGAGCCACCATGCCTGGCTACATTTACCTAAAAACATGATTATTGAAGGACTATGTGCCAGATGCAGTAGTCAGTCATTTATTCATTAATTTTGTTCTTACAAATATTTTTCGAGCATTTACTATGTAGCAGTTCTCCATTTGTTTCTAAAAAATTTTATTGAATGTCTACTGTGTGCTGGGGAAGGCAGAGGAATGGTCATTTATCCAACAAATATTTATTGTGCACCTACTGAAGGCCAGGGGAGATAAGAATTGGTCATTTACTCAACATATTTTTATGGAACATATAGTATATGCTAACAGGAGATGAAGACTGTCACTTATTCTTTAGTACAACAAATTTATGGAGTGTTTACTATGTGCCAGGCACTGTTCCAGCCTTTGGAGATTCAATAGTAAAAGAAATCAAAGTCCCTGCCTTTGTGAAGTTTATATTCTTGTGCAGTAATTTTGGTTTGGTTTGGTTTTGGCGTCTCACTCTGTCGCCCAGGCTGGAATGCAGTGGCATGCTCACGGCCACTGCAGCCTCAAAACTTCTGGGCTCAGGTGATCCTTCCACCTCAGTCTGTCAAGTAGCTGGAACTACAGGCGTGCGCTACCACGCCCGGCTTATTTTTTGATTTATTGTAGAGACAAGGTCTCACCAAGTTGCCCAGGCCAGTCTCGAACCCCTGAACTCAGGCAGTCCTCTCACCTCGGCCTCCCAAACTGCTGGGATTATAGGCATGAGCCACCGTGCCCAGCCTGTGCAGTAACTTAATCCTTTGACCACAATCTACAGTAGAAAATCCATTTGACAGTGAGACCCAGTACATGTGTTCAGTCTGAGACTGTATTTGCATATACCTGAAACAACAGTTTCACATTTCTTTACCATGTGCCATGCATTCTGGTATTTTCTGTCTTGTACTATTCTAGTTAACTATTAAAGAAAAAACTTTGTGGTTCTCAACCTCTCAGCCATGGCTGCACTAAATTAAAATCACCAGGAGGCTTTTAAAAATCCCATTGTTGGGCCCTGCCCCAGAGCAATTAAATTAGAGCCTCTGGAGGTGAACCCTGGACTTCCATATCTTTTAAAGCTCCCCAGGCATGCCAGGGTGTAATTAGGATGAGAACCTCTGTGTTAAACTGACACACAAACCTCTGCTATCTGAGAAACATTGCTCTATGGCAGAAAACTGTTAAAGCTGGGCGGTCAGTACTCAGAGATTCTTTAGACATTCTCTCTACTTTAGTATACAATTGAGAAGTTCTAGAAAAATGATGGTGGTGATGATGATAAATACTGTTCATGGGTGACATGGGTGATGGGGAATACCAGGTGGCATGATCCGAGTTGTGATGGGAGGAGCCCAGGGAGCCAGAGGAGCCCAGAGGGCTGATGCCTGATCCAGTCTGGATGGTCAGGGAGGGCTCCCTGGAGGAAGAGACCTATCAGAGAGCTGAGACCTGGAAGATAAGTAGGAGTTGGCTGAACAAATTCCCAGCTGTGTGACCTCAGGCAAATTATTAAACCTTTTTGTGTGGCACAGACCGTGCCTCAGTTCCTCCCATATGTAACATGGGGGGGCTACGCTAAACCCACTTTATGGAGCTGTTGTGAGGTTTTCATGTTTTAGCATACATAAAGAATTTAGGGTTGGATGTGGTGGCTCACGCCTATGTGTAAGGCAGGAGGAATGCTTGAGCCAAGGATTTCGAGACAAGTTTGGGCAACATCGTCTCTACTAATAATAGTAATAAGAAGAAGCTGGGCATGGTGGCCTGTGCCTGTAGTCCCAGCTACGAGGAAGGCTGAGAGGAAGGCTAGATTCCAGGAGACTGAGGCTACAGTGAGCCGCGATACTACCACTGCACTCCTGCCTGGGCAACACAGCAAAACCCCGACTCAAAAAAACCCCCAAAAACATTTAGGACAGTATCTGGGACATAAGTGTTCCATGAGCGTTAGCTGTTCCTAAAGGGCCTTAAAAAGAGGGCCTGGATAAGAGCTGCACTCAGAGCAGGGGTTGTTCATTGTGGTCTCCAGATCAGCCACACAGCTCCCGGGAACCTACTAGGAATGCAGATTCCTGAGCTCCACCGCAGCACCACTACATCAGAAATCCTGGGATGGAGCCCAGAAATCTGTATTTTTTTCCTTTTTTTTTTTTTTTGAGTCAGAGTCTCACTCTGTCGCCCAGACTGGAGTG